CACATGTGTGTGTACATTTGCAGCAGCCCATGCAGGCATAAAGCAATTGCTTTCCAGCAACAACAGTTATTTTGATTTAGCATTTTGCTTTCAACCTATATATTGATGGCTTGACGGCGCACTTAGCCATCAATGGGTGTTCATTTTTCAATTAAATTCCGTTATTTTTTGTTATTAAGTTTTGCATTTACTCTGCTCTGATCCTCTCGCGCATTGAACGTCATTGAAAATACTTAATTAAATTCATCAACGCTTGACATGACATGCCTCCTGCTTCTGCTCCTACTCCTGATCCGTTCATGACTGGGCACACGGCTCCAATGGGCAGCCAATTGGTAAAGTGAGAAGTTCACTTTGCCGCCATTATGAGGGCCTTTCTGTTGGAGTGTGAATGTGAATGGGAGAGAGTGTGTGGGTGTGTGTGTATGTGTGTATGTGTGCGCGTGCTTAATTACATTTACACATGCTAGCTGGGTTGCATGGCAGACGAACGTAAAGAGAGTGAGAGAATAATGGCTGCTCGCTACACTGCGGCGAAGCATGGAAGTGTGTGCATGACAAATCTCGTCGATTGGAAAGCGTGTGAGGCTAAAGAAGATCGAGCAGGATGGAAGTATCGAATTATAAATTTGACAGCTTGATGGAGACGAGAGGCAAAGAGTGGAAGTGCAAGAGAGTAAGAAATTGTGCGAGCTGACAGACTGGAATGTATGGAATGATGTGGGGAGCGAACGTGAGTGAGCGAGATAGCAGCGTTTTATTTATTCGTGCGTAAAATGCAGACGAATTAAATGAAAATTTTAAAGTAAATTTAATTAAATAAATATAAAAAAAAAAATAACTGAATTAAATGAGATCGGAGTCAATTTCGTTGTCTAGTGCTTTCGCTCACTTTTTTTTTAAACTAAGAGCTGTTTACTGATGGAATTTTCTCTCAATGTAACTGCGATTTAATTTCGCGGCATGGAAGAGTATAAAAGGAGGTTGATTGCCTGCTTCATTCGTTCGGTTTAATTTCGTTTTTGCTGGCCACCTTTTTGCACCTGTGTGCCCTGTAAATTAAGCAAACAGCAGCGCAGCGCAGCGCAGAGTTTCCTGTTGCCTGCACGGCTAATCTCTTATGACAGCTTTGCATAATTGCTGGCAACACCAGTTACCACGCCCCCATATCCGCCACGCCCGCTCCTCGTTCGCCGCAGAACTTACGTGTGCAGAAGCGCGGCTCATCGCTGCCATCGCCGCAATCGTTGTTGTTGTTGCAGAATTTGCTGAGCGGAACGCAACGTCCATTCGAGCAGCTAAACTCAGCGAGAGAACAACCCGTTCCGGAACTGGAACCGGAACCGGAGCTGGAACCATAGCCAGACAAATTGGCAGGTTTGGCAGCGTTTGATGTGGATGCGGCAGCAACTGGAACGGCCGCTGCCGTTGCGGCAGCAGCTGCTGCTGCTGTTGTTGTGGCAACTGCTGCCAGTGCCAGCAGCAGCGTCAGCGTCGACGTTGACGTTGACGTTGCATTTACGTGACGCTGACTGCGGCGCTGACGTTGATGTTTAGGTTGACGTTGACTTTGACTGGAAGCCTTAATTGCATGACATTGTGTTGCAATTGTTGTTGCTGGCATTTGAAACATTTGTGTGACAGTTATGTGGCGCTCATTTGACTGCCCTTTGACACCATCCACGCTCAGTCTGAAGTGTTTTGCAGTTGCGGCAGTGTTAGTTGCAATGTTTGTTGTTGTTGTTGTGGTTCGTTGTTTCAGTTTCTTTGGCCTTTTTCTGCTTTTGTATTTTTGACGCCATTTTAATGTCATTTTTGTGTTTGTTGTATCTGCAAAGAAATAAAAATCGTATTATGACTACATATAAATTTATCTGATATTTTATATACAAATTTAACAAAGCTCAACGCGCACAGGGTATCTGCTAGTCGTCAAACTGCCATTACACAATTTATTTATATTTTTACAATTTAAAATAATTCAATTTTTATTTCAATTTAAGCTCAATGCTTATTATGCATTATTTTGCAATCCATTTCGCCTGGACTTTCATTGAAAATGCACGAATTAATTTTTCGTTCTCCAAAAATTAAGAGTATATAAAAAGTATAAAGGATTTGCGTTTTGCGATTTATGTCCCAAAATTTATGGCCAAATATTTATCGCACGGTAAATAAATGGAAATAAATGTGCCCGGCCAGCGTCGCGGTCGCAGTCGACGTTGGCAGCGACAGCGGTTGGCTCATAAATATTTGCAGCATAAACAGTTTTTATTTTTGTTTTTATTTTGTATTTTATATTTTGTATTTTTATTTTTGCTTGCTTTGCCAAGGACGAATTTTCACGCGCGTTGCACAAAATGTGTGCAAAAATGTGTAAAAGGGGGAATTCCCAGCCAGCGAAAAAAAAAAATAAAAGCTGCCAAGCGTGTAACGGTGCTTTTTTGCGCACAATGGATAAATATATGCGAGGCCTGGCTGAAAGACCGGCGACTAGCATAGAACAGACGTTCTATGCGAGAATTGATTAATGTCTTTTTTTTTGTGTGTGCGATGCAAGAGAGAGGAAGAAATAGAGACAGAGTGCGAGAGAGAGGGATTGCTGCTGTCGATTGCAGCAGTCAGTGATAACGATGCGAATGAAAAACAACAGCCGCAAAAATCAGTGATGGGAGAGAGCAGGCGACAGAGAGAGAGAGAGAGGGATAGGAGAAAGAGAAACATAGAGAGTGGAAATCGTTGTTCTATTGGCTGCCTCGCGGGCTGCTGATGATTTATTACCGTTGTTTGGGGCTTGCAACGCGTGACCCCAAAACAGCAGCAACAACAACTAAAACAACAACAACAACTCGAGAGTCAATGAGTGAACTGAGCGAAAAAGCCAGCCTTGCACAGTAGCAGCAACAGCAGTAACAAAATAAAAATAGCAAAAAAATCGTTGCATAATTTTAAATTAGATGCACAGACATGGAACAGACGTGGATGCCTCGACGGATGAAACCGAATGTGGGACAGACAACAACGACAACGAGAACGACAACGACAAAAACAGCGACGGCGACGACTTTGGTGGCAGACAGTCGCTGCAGCAGCAGCAGCAGCAGCAAATGACGTCGACAACAAGCAACAACAATAACAAACGTACAACAACAACTGAAAAAGCAAAAAAAAAAAAAATGACACACACACAGAATTGCTGCTGCTGCACAAAACAACACGAAAATAGCTGATTCAAACTAGAAT